AGAGAGAGAGAGAGAGAGAGAGAGAGAGAACGTACCCGTTTCTCCGCGGCCATGTTGAGCAAACATCGTCAGTACAGCCAGGCCGGCTGATAGCCCCTAGAGCTGACACCCCCCATGTCTGCTCTATCGATCCGCCTCTTGCTTTGGCTACTCACACCACTGCGGCGGCCAGTCTGTGTGCTTGGAGGTGTGTGTGTGTGTGTGTGTGTGTGTGTGTGTGTGTGTGGGTGTGGGTGTGGGTGTGGATATGTATGTGTTTCTGTGTGTGTGGGTGTATTTATGTGTGTGTGTTTATCTTTGTGTGTGTGTGTTGTGTGTGTGTGTTTGTGTGAGTGTGTGTGGAGAGATAGAGAGAGCGAGAGAGAGAGAGAGGAAGGGAGGGGTGGGGAAGAGAGATATGTTGATCTCGAGGGGGCCAAAATGATAATAACAACAACAACAGACCATAACCAACCCCATCTCCATAACGACAACAACAACAACAGCAACGACAACAGCAATAACGTGTTGCAATCACCAAATGCGTCACTCTACAGTTAGCTTATCACTTAATATGTGAGTGGTGAGCCCACACTGTCTCTTTCACACGACTGCCCTAACACGTTAATTCCTTTAATGCCTTTTCTTCGACAAGTGTCTGTCTGACCCGGGTTCACTGGTGCTTTCTTTTTCATCGTTTTGTTCCTCGTTAACTGTTAAAATATAGAAAGCTTCTCCATTTTTCTGCGAGTGGTTGGGGGGCGCCACTGGTAGGTCCGTCCGACCTCGTTTCTTTCCCTCGGTTGTTTTACTTTTTCCCTAGCACTAAATGACCATTTTTGTGTCGATGTGCTTCTCTTTACTCAAACAAAGAAACAACACACACTTCCCTTAAACGCCACTCGTACTTGATTTTTGTGTATAAAATAAACACCAAACTGCAGAAATAAGTGGGTGGTTGACGGGTGCTCTCATGCGGTTTGCTCCTTCTTTCCTTTGAAACATCTGATTCGAGCGTCCTTATTTCCGTTCCTTCTTTTAGTGTTTGTTACTCTCTTGTAACACCTCTAATCTCCGGCACTTGAATGGCTTATTGTGTTCTGTAAAACTCTTACAAAAAACTAGGCAGAAATAGAAAGTCCATGTGATAAACATACAATTTGGTTATAGATTTATTTTTTTCTAAAGATTTACCGGGGTTTAGGATATATTTGTTATGATTGGAAACAACAGAGCAATGCCGTGCACCAAGTGAATTGATGCTTCTTATTTACTGACTTGGAGAATTGACATCATTGCAGGCGGCACAATGCCATAGCTGCTCCCCCCTCCTCCCCAGGTTTTCTTGCTTATCGTGCCAGTTATCAGCCCGTTTGATATACTCTTCTGGTTTTCCACGCAGGTTGCTATCTCTCCCCGACCCTTTAGAGACACCAGCTTCCCTAAGTCTTTCCATTGACGCTTCGTATACCAAAACTTAAAGAAAGAACTAGAAGTCTCGTGTGCCTCATTTCTTTTTGCGTCGATTACCGTCTCAGCCCTGTCTATTAATAAGGAACTGTTGTAATGCCTCTCTCGTCTAGCGTCTAATGCCGTATTATGGGATGCCCTTTGATGCGATACTGCGTAGATTGAAGAAGGAAGACATGACCGACACGTGCTGCTGTGGTCTTGACGTCGTTAGAGATCGAAATAACTTTGAAAGTTGAATATACGGCAGTTTCAACGAGTCGCTTTATTTTAATGACGTCTAATCTCGTTTTTGGAGTGGGTGGTTGGTTGTTTGTTCCTTCTTTCGCATCAAACCTCTATCGTCCTTATTCATCCTCCCCCCCCCTCCCTTTCTCCTTCTCTCTCTCTCCCTCTCT